GTGGGGGCAGACTACCACAGTTACTCTAACCCAAACCAGTGTTTTATGAAAACGATGATTTTAGGTTGAAGTAACCATTTAAATACCCCAAGTTGTGCTAAGTAATATTAAGTGTACTTGCAAGGTGTTAGAAACTCAGAAACAGACACCTATATATCTATATATAGATCTCCTAGAAACACAGGAGATCTATATATAATGATGTGCTGGATTCTTCTACTGTCTAAGTGGGCTTTGGCTAGACAACCCCAGAAATAAGCAGTCTACGTTTGTAATTGTTAACATAATGCAAAACCCCAATATAATTTTATAGCATCACCAGGCACCAGCAACAATTGCTTCCTTTTTAATAATTTTATTAAAGTGGCTTTGTCATCAGAAATTTTTCTTTCAGTGATTATAGAGCACTTTAAAAGTATGATAAACTTAGAAAACTTCAATTTGAAAAAAATAAGTTCAAAAAGTCACTGAAAAATAAGGTTTTACAATCATGGCAGTGCATGTCAGCATGACTCCTATGAGTGCAGTATTATTATTATTATTATGTTATTTATATAGCGCCAACAAATTCCGCAGTGCTTTACAGTGGGTGGACAAACAAACGTAGTTGTAACCAAAAAAGTTGGACACACAGGAACAGAAGGGTTGAGGGCCCTGCTCAATGAGCTTACATGCTAGAGGGAGTGAGGTAAAGTGACACAAATGTTAAGGATAGTATTAGACTAATGGCAGTTACAAGAGAGGAATTAGTCAGGAGCTATTAACAGTTTAATTGATACGCTTTTATGAAGAAGTGGGTTTTTAATGATTTTTTGAAGGAATGGAGACTGGGTGAGCATCTAACGGAGGAGGGAAGTGAGTTCCACAGGAACGGTGCAGCCCTTGAGAAGTTTTGAAGGCGAGCATCAGAGGTGGGAGTACGGACAGAAGATAGACGTAAGTCTGCAGCAGAGTGTAAGGGCCTAGACGGGACATACTTGTGTATTAGGGAGGATAGATAGGTGGGAGCAGCATTATGTAGAGATTTGAAAGCAAGACCCAGAATTTTAAATTGAGCCCTATATCTTACAGGAAGCCAATGTAGGGACTGACAGAAGGGTGAGGCGTGGGAGGTGTGGGTGGACAGGAAGATAAGCCTCGCCGCCGCATTCATTATAAACTGTAACGGCGCAAGTTGGGAGCACGTAAGACCACTGAGAATTGGATTACAGTAGTCAATGCAAGAAAGGACAGTGGAATGGACCAGCACCATAGTCACATCTGGCGTTAAGTAGAGTCGGATGCGTGCAATGTTTTTGAGATGGAAGTGGCAGGATTTGGCAATAGACTGAACATGAGGCATGAAGGAGAGGTCGGAGTCAAAGAGAACACCTAGCCTGCGTGGTGGAGCTGATGGTAGCACCTTTGACTTGGAGGGAAACAGACACAGGAGTAGCAACACTTGAGGGAGGAAAGACCAGAATTTCAGTTTTGGTTAAGTTGAGTTTAAGGAAGTGGGCAGCCATCCAGTTAGAAATAGCAGTGAGGCAGTCAGAGACACAAGTCAAGAGGGACGGGGAGACATCAGGAAAGGACAGATAGATTTGCGTGTCATTGCCATAGGCGTGCGCAGCCAATTGCATTAGGGTGTGCACCCTAAAGCACAAACACACGCCACGCGCGTGTGTGTATCTCTCTCTCTCTCTATATATATATATATATATATATATATATATATATATATATATATATATATATATATATAAACACACACACACACAGCTGTGTGTGCTGTTAGTGTGCTGTGTGCTGTTAGTGTTATGTGTGTGTGAGGGTGCGTGTTTGTGACTGTGCTGTTTGTGTGTGTATGTTTGTCCTGTGAGGGTGCTATTTGTGAGGGTGCTGTTAGTGTGCTGTGTGTGAGGGTGTTGTGTTTTTTTTAAAGGTGCTGTGTGTGTTTGTGAGGGTGCGGTTAGTGTACTGTGTGTGTGTGAGCTGTATGTGTGTAGGTGCTGTATGTGTGTGCTGTATGTTTGGAGGGATTTGGCAGATTAGTAAATCCTTGCTGCCATGTGCCATCCCTGGTGGTCCAGTGGAGAGTGAACTCTAGCCTGCGGGGCTAGAGTTAACTCTCGCGAGATCTGAGCGTTGCCACAGCAATGCTCAGATATCGCGAGAGGAACCTGGCGGAGCTTCTGTCTAGAGCTCCCTGGGTCCTCTACTGCCTCCCTCCAAGCTGCTGTGGGCCGGTGAGGTAGATCTTTGGTCTCCCCGCCGGCCCATGAAGGCTTAGAGCAGAGCCGGCACTCAGATAGCGCCGGCTCTGCGTGTGTGTGTGTGTGTGTATATATATATATGTATATATGTGTATATGTATATATGTGTATATATATATATATATATATATATATATATATATATATATATATATATATATATATATATGTACACACACACACACTGACAGACACACACACATACATACTCACAGACACACACAAACACTCACACACTCACAGACACATACATACTCACAGACACACACTCACAGAAACACACACACACTCACAGAAACACACACACAGACACAGACACACACACATACTCACAGAAACACACACACAGACACAGACACACACACATACTCACAGACACACACACACATACTCACAGACACACACTCACAGACACACTGACACACACACATACATACTCACAGACACACACTCACAGAAACACACACATACTCACAGACACACACACACATATACTCACACACACTCACAGACACACACTCTGACACACACACACACACATTATTATATATATATATATATATTTTTTTTTAAATGTCCACCCAGCCTCCTACCTGGAGTGCTGGTGGACTTGTCCCTGGGGTCCAGTGGGGGCGGGCGCCTTTCTCCAGTTCAGCCGCGGCGAGGGAGCTCTCTGCTCTCTGCTCCCTCTCGCCGCGCGGGCTGGCTGCTGTAGCTGGGAGCCGGAATATGACGTCATATTCCGGCTCCCGGCATCAGCGCGCGGCGAGAGGAAGCAGAGAGCAGAGAGCTCCCTCGCCGCGCGCTGAGATGCAGGGTGGGGGGGAATCATCACCTCTTGCCCTCCCATGACAGGGGCAAGAGGTGAAACAGGGGGCACTGAGTGCCTGCAGGAACAGCGTTCCTGCTCAAAAAAAGTGCAGGAACGCTGTTCCTGCAGGACTCAAGCCATAGGCGTGCCACGGGGATTAGGGTGTGCCCAGGCACACCCGGCACACCCCGTGCGCACGCCTATGGTCATTGCATAGAAATGATATTGGAAGCCAAAGGAGCTAATGAGTTTACCAAGGCAGGCAGTACAGATGGAAAACAGTAGGGGATCAAGGACTGAACCTTGGGGGACACCAACAGAGAGGAGTTGGGGAGAAGAAGCAGAGCCAGAGAAAGACACTTTGAAAGAGCGCTGGGAGAGGTAGGAGGAGCACCAGGAGAGAGCAATATCTTGTAGACCGATATTGCGAAATATGAGAAGAAGCTGTTGATGATCAACAGTGTCAAAAGCCGCAGAAAGGTCAAGGAGAATTAGGATAGAGTAGTGACCACAAGCTTTTGCAGCGAGTAGATCATTGGATACTTTGGTCAGTGCCGTTTCCACAGAGTTTTTAGCGCAGAAACCAGACTTAAGTGGGTCTTGAGTTGGACTCAAGAAAGTCTGTCAATCTCGCATACACAACTCTTTCAAGGATCTTGGATGCAAAAGGCAGTAGCAAGATAGGATGGTAGTTGGATGGGCAGTTACAGTCAAGGTTGGGCTTCTTTAGAATTGGGGTTATAGTTGAATGTTTGAAGGGCGATGGAAATATGCCAGAGGAGAGAGAGAGAGAGATTGAGAATTTTATTGAGAGGTAGAGAAAGAGAAGAAGACAGTATGAATGATATGCGAGGCTATTGGATCTAGGGAGCAGGTGGTGGGGCGGGAGGACTGGAGCAGAGCAGAAACCTCTTCCGCTGTAGCGGGTGCGAATGAACATAGAACAGAAATATGAGAGATCTCTTCCCTGATTGTAGAGATCTTGTCAGTGAAGTGTGTTGCAAAGTCTGAGGCGGTCAAGTTAGTAGGTGGAGGAGGAACAATAGGGCGAAGAAGAGAGTTAAATAGTAGTTTTGGTTCGCGGGAGAGTGTGGTTATGAGGGTATTGAAGTAATTTACTTTCGCAGAGGAAAGAGACAAGCTGTGTGAGCACAGCATCAATTTATATCATTAAACCTCCACTTGGTTATCTGTAAATATTGTTACTGTGTTGGGAAAATTGTTTAAAATGATTCATGTAATAAAAACTTTGAGGTGAGTCATTATGTGGTCCAATTTCAAAATACCTTAAATTCTAAACTATCTTGCCTAAGTTATCCAGGAACTTTAAAATGCAAAACGAATTATGTTTATGAACCTGAATGCAAATAATCTTTACAAATAACCTTTCACTAGATAACTTGTAGATTGCTGTATAGTGGAGGAGACATAATTTTCTCCACTGTGCCTACAATGCTGATTACTATACGATATATGATTGATGATATAGAGTAGTGTTTTTATTACAACAAAAATGTTAAAAATTATCTGTCCTACATCAATCCCAGAAATTGACATGTTCAAGAAATAGTTTGCATCATTTGTTCTAAAATTCCTTTTTTCAACACTCACTTTAACAATAACCTAAAGTGTGAGAGAATGAGACATATTTATTTTATAAACAGATGTATTTTTGTTAATGTTTTCCGGTTTTATGATTTATCATTATCATGATTTTCACATGCGTATTTTTTCCATGCATGCCCTACAAACTAACTAAAATAAATAAATACCGATTACAAAAAAGAAAAAAAAAGAAAACCAAAAACGTCCTGGTGTTTAAACAGACATTAAAGGAACAATCTAACTATAAAAATTAATATATTTGTTGCTCCCTCTTTAGATTGTTCCCACATTAGTTTAAATAAAAAGTAAAAAAATCGATATAAAACTTGCCTTTATTCCAGTGCTGGATTAATTTCGGGGCATCAACCGTTCTTCCTCCATGGAAGTCATTAATTCAGTCCACCGCTTCTTGGCGACTCAGGGTGCATTTGCAATTGCCATGCTCTGCTGATCAGATACTTCTCTATGGCAAACTTTAAGACTGTACAGCATCATCAAGCTGGCTGTTATTACACAAAACATGAAGGTCTGCAATTTTTGAAAGCCTTCAGAAGGTCGAGCCCCTGACAGCCAAGAGGCATGGTATCAGATACATGTGAACAGTGTTGTTTCTCAGAAATGACAATATTTTACGTTGTGCAATAGAAGAGACAGGGTCTATGCACTAAAAGCATTGATTAGTATAAAGTTGTTTTTGTGCTGAGAGTGGCCCTTGACCTGCAGTGGCAGTATACACATAATGCAAAGCATCTACCCCACCAGGTGGTAGCAACTCGGAAAGAGACACCACCACAGGAGAGTGGATAGTTGCCATGTCCCCCATTAATGCTATCTGTATCTATTACCCTGAACTCAACATGGGTTAATGAAATATATTTGCATCCAAGGGACCCATACATTTCATACAGCTATGGAAAATCTCCAACATAATTCCTCGAAGAGCAATCCGTGATGAGTACAGAAATAGTCCATTACCATCACATGCAGTGCAAAGTGAATAGGCTATCCACAAAACGTACATTTATATTTTTATTTCCAGATTCCCAGATAACAGGCTGCTCACATTCGGTGTTCACAAAGACCCTGGTAAATATTTGTCTGTGATCAAACAGAGGATACAATAGGAAATTGGTAAAAACCCAGCACTGAGTACATTTCCTGATATCTCAAATAAAGTAGCTTTGTGTTGCCTAGCTGCGCAGTTATATGACAACAAGCAGGAGAGAATGAGGTACAAAATCTGGTTTGATGTCATAGAGACCTGTCTATTAAACACACAAGTCCTCTTAGTATTGTTGTTGGTGTGCTGGGACTACGGTGTAATACTTACAAATAAAGTAAAAAAAATAGATGATATCACATGATTAATATTTTTTATACTTTGGACTATTAGATATTTATTCAAATACGAAATTGCACTACATTTAATAATAGCACATTTATATCACAAACGACTGTGTAAGTACAAGATAATACACAGTAATATGTTCGTTGGACACTATTTCTGGCAAGTGGTCTGCCAATTTCTGCATCAATTTATCTTCACTATTTATCATAGATCCCAGTAATATTTTCTATTGACTTTTGGCCATTTAAGTAAAAATAATAAATTAGACAGAATTAATTATTGCAAATTTTGTACCATTTATTTATACAACTATTATTTTAATTAGGACTGGTTAGTACCCATTATAAGTCTATAACTTTATTTTATTAATATATGCCCTTTTTCTAACTGGAAGATAGTGGAAGTCGTCTTTTTCACAAACCTAAATTATATATTCTCAAATAAATTATAGAATCACCAAAGTCAACATGACCACTTTATCTCAATTAACTGGTGTAGGTGCAGTGGTCCTTTCATTTTACCCCTTCAAGGTAAGCATGTAGAAAGGTTAATGTTTACTGTCAGGGCAAGGGTGCATAATTTATTATTACACTATGGAATATTGCAATTTAATATAGCTTGTGTAGTGCATCAATAATTTGACCCCTGGGTAGAGGACAAATGGCAGAGAGAAATTGCCCTTTTGATCTATCAAAGGTCCTGCAAGGTAAGACATTTTACACTTGAGCCGCCTGTATGTCTAGTTTCAATGGAAACTAACTGACTTTGACCATATGGCCTGAAACTCTCTATTGATAGTTCAATCATTTGATATGGTAATGGTATTAGTTTCATGAAGACCCTGGTGTTCCAGTATCATATCCAAGAGAAACATTAATACTTACCCACAGCTTAATAATTAAGCCTCATTTTTATTATATTTGGAATGGGATAAGTCCAATCTTTTAATGAGTTGCACAACTTAAACCATGTGGCAAGAATTGTGAATCCTATTGAATCCTATTGGATCGCGGGTCGGGCGTGCCACTTGTCTATGGGATGGGAAAATAATAAATTCATAGATGCAATTATTATTTCTGTGGCAGGTACATAAGAAAAGATAAAGCCAAATGTTTCCATTTGGATTGACGTTGGTCTGGAACAAAGGAGATGGTCCCTTATTATTTCTATAGGTACGCCTTAACTCCACTGCTGGGCAAGACTTGATACTCCACAGGGTATATATCCAATGATTTGGAGGGTGTGGGTGTACTTGCTTGGGGCCAAGATCTAATTTTGAGTGAGTCACCATCACCCTTCCTTGCCAGAGATCCCCTGGGCAGAAGTTTTACTTTAAAAATCTAAGTGAGTCATTAGGACTTCTGTTATTTTTTTTATTCTTTTTGTTTTTATCTGTTGTTGGTGTAAATAATTTATCATATATTTTTGTATGCACTGTGACTATTTGTTGCTCATAATAAACATTAATTTTTTAAGTTCTGCCTTTGTCTGGTTAAGAATCACGTTACCTGAAGAGACTAGTTAGTATTTTTGCAATTACTTAAATATTGTGCTAAGTTGTATTTAGTGGGTTTTTATTATTAAGTTTTCCTGGGGAACCAAGGCACCCAATTTATGAATTGTCTTGGTGGTGGCAGCTTAAAAATAGTAATAGTTGTATTATTATGTTTAAGTGTGGGTGGTGTTAAGGGGGATTTTGTCATTATTTACAGTCTAGTGCAGACAAATATTGAACTTTAATCCTTTCACCACCACAACTACATCACGCACACTCTTGGAGTAGGGTGCGTTTGTGACATTCACCTTAAAGGGTATTTCACCCCATTGGAAGCACATCCGCTGCTCCGACTGAGTGCACTACACATGTCACAGAAGCTAATACGAAAGTATTGAGTTCAATGCTTTCCTATGAGGTGCATTGGATGTGCATGCAATGCTATCTGCACATGCGCATCAGGTCCCCAATTATACCATGCCTCATTGATGAAGTTGAAAGGATGGAGAGGTGAGCAGTTGTGAGGGAGTCTTGGTGCTGGAGAAAGGGGAGTAAAACCTTTATTCTATTAATTATACTGGAACATGTGTGTGTGGGGGTACATTATATAACTAGGGACAGGAGCATTATAGAATTAGTGTTTTCTCTGGAAATTACTTTACAACACTGAATAAAACTGAAAATCACCTATAACTTGTGTTGACCGTTTCTCACGACATCACAAACCAATACACACTAGAAATGCTTTCTCTATGCTGACTGCCAGAGGCGTAAAACAGAGCTTGCAAAAAAGATTGACATGTAAATAAGATGGAGAAGTCCAGTTTGGTTTTCTGCATTTTATTTGTTTACATTAAAAATACATATTTGCTAAAAAATAGTGGATAAGTAAACATGATTTAAAAAAAAGACCTGGTACATGACAGTTCTCCTTTAAGTAATTCAGTTATTGGCTGAGGATGGTGATCTGTAGCTTTAAAGGGTCTGAGGGGTCACACAACTAAGTGGGACAGATAGGAACTTAATGGCAATTAACAGATAAGTGAATAACAATGTCCAGTATTCATAGCTTAATAGAAAAGGCAAATATAAGTTCATTAATATCAGTCCTTTGAATGACTGCATAGTTAGCTATGAAGTGCAGGAAAAATAATGAATACAGAAAGAATAGTTAATCGTAATGCCTTGTGAACTTCAGAACTAGTTATGACATGGGTAAGAGCAAAGTCAAATGCAGTGCAGATAGCAAGAGGGATAGCTTGCTCAATGTCTCTCTGGGTAAAAGGTCCTTTTCAAGATTAGATTGCTGTTTGCTTTGGTAACATTTAACACAAGAAAATGTGAATACCAGACAACAACTGTTGAGAAATGTATCAAAACTCAGAGTCATTAACTCAGATAAAATCAGTCCCATTGCTGGTAAAATCACCTCCACAGCTTCTTAGGAGTATGAATCCTGCTATAGATGAAGACTGATAGTGCGGTCATGCCTCCACATATGGTTGGAGTGTCCAAATGTGGTACTTTTTTGGAAGCTGATTGATGCCATCTTACAGAAATTCTATGACAGCCCTCCTTTCACTCTGCTCCTTTTCTCCATCGTACCACCTTACCGACAGCCAAATATATGAAATCCCTGACCATTCAGATTTTAAATGCTGCAAAACAGGTTGTACCTCTTTACTGGAAACAGGATACACTGCCACCCCATATTACCTGGTTTCATAAAATGGAAGACGTAAGGCATTTAGAACAACTTACTTTCATGGCACAGGTATGCATCCAACTGTATGCACACATATGGGCACACCGAGTAACGACTGTCTATCATGCAGACTTAAAATGACTGTTGAATTATGGAACGTAGACAATTGTACCAAGGGGACTGGGCGGGAAAATGGGAGTTTGGGATGCTGAACGGTGGTGTCTCGGGTCACCGGTCAAGACCGTATCCGTAATGCTCTGGAGATGTGGCTCTCCCTTGCTTCTAACCTATTACTAAATGTACCATGGATACTCTGATTAAGTAGGAGTTTTCACCATATTAAGAGTCCAATATATTTTTGAAATAAGGCCCAAATGGAGAGGGTTCGGATGGGGATTAGGATGGGTGAGCCTCTTTGGATCTCGGGAGGAGTAGAGGGGAAAGAACATCCAGGATTTATTTGTTAATTGATGCTCAACGACAGTTTTATCTTTTGAGACAGAGTTCATTGGAACTTTTCTACTGCTCCTGTTACATTTTGTTGGAAATGCTTTGATATTTTATAATGGACTTGTGCGTCCACATGGAAATTCCATTTTCATTTGTACGGTCCTGCGAGGCCTAAAACAGGTTGTTGACTTGGACCTACGTGTCTGTTGATGCTGCATTTTACTTCTTTTCTTGCAACCGATAAAAAAATTTTCATAACAAAAATAAAAAAATATATATATATAAAAAGTTGTTTACAAACCAAACTTCTTTTATAAGAATTCCTTGATGGCATTATTTTACCATAGTACATGGTTCACTGTTATGTCTACATCCATGGCTCCACACTTGGTGGATTTCCATTCCTGTATTGGAATATATAGCTATATTCAGTGACAACAATTACAGCAGTTTTATTGTATCAGATATTGAAACCAGTGGCGGAACGACTGCCGGTGGCCCTGGTGTGGCTGCACTGGGGCCCACAGGCTTTGTGGGTATATCAGATAGCCGATACATCGCAAATCTTATAGGCAGGCATGTTGGTTGCTGTGGCCCTTTAGCAAATACATGTAAATTGCAACTTGTATATCTGTATCTGTGTATATCTGTGTGTCGATGTGTGTATATGTATATTAGCGTGTAGCTGCATATGTGTATGTGTGCATGCATCTCAGCATCCATATTCAAACATCCACACTACATACAAACACACCTCTCCAATCAAATGCCAACACTACATGCAAACGCCAACACTACATGCACACACTAGTTGCAATCAAACACCAACACTACAAACACA